ACACACACACACACACACACATATATATATATATATATATATATATATATATATATATATATATATATGTGTGTGTGTGTGTGTGTGTGTAAGGATTAATACATTTTTCGAAATGTCTACATTTGTAAAATTATCATTATAGATCATTATACACAAATTGTATCTAACTATTCTAAAATTCAAGACGAACTGTCAACTAACCACCCCCTCCCAAACTTTCCACGTTTTTGCCCGATGAGATTAAAGAGATTTTCTTCCCAACCCAAGTTAGAAAAGTCTTGCCGATCGTCTGAATTAAGTCGTTATGAATGTTTTAAGGAAACTTGAGTATAAAAAAGAAGGGTGCCACGTTGTAATCTTCTGTAATATTTCAGATTGATGACGATAATGTGGCAGCAGTGACGTATTTGTATGTTGTAGGAAACACTTGCTCCGACTCTTCTAGTTAGTGGGATACAATCTTCCTCTGTGTGAGGGCACACCATAATTTTATCTCCATTCAGATTACTGCTAATTATAGCTAAATCCCCATCTAGCTTACCGCCAATTAAGGCTTAATCTCGGTCTAGCTTATTGCCAATTATGGTTTAATCTCCATCTACCTTTCGGTCAATTATGGCTAAATATCCATCTAGCCTACCGCTAATTATGGCTAAATCTCCATCTAACTTACTGCCACTTAAGACTACATCTCCATCTAGCTTACTTCCAAGTATTTTTTTTAGTGTAAACACTCAGGATCATCTATTACACTCTCTGCTCTCCTGCTACGATCTCCCGAATTTCGTAGTAGCTCTACCTTATACTAGTCGTTGTTCAAGTACAAAGTCTTCAATATTCTCTTCCGCTGCCTATCATACTAATTCAACTAGAAAATTATACTCTATTTTTTAACCCGGCAACTAGTGGTACTAATCATTCTAACACTACACCAGGTCTCCAAGGAAATTGTACATGTACTAAGCACCTAACATATTGCTCACAGCTATTTTCCTAGCCGCTGATGTACCACATACATGCATTCCTTGGTTCTAAAATCCCATGAGATAACATAAACCTAATCCTAACGTAAGTATAAACTCCATCCATCATTTTGACCAGTTTTTTCACAATTCACCCTGGGTATTAACAGGGTGTAAGCGTCTTTTTTTACTTCACACCTGCTCTTACATAGTGTGGGCGTTTCAACACTATAATTGACAAAGCAAATGCCCGAGAGCTCGCTGGAGAGCGGTTCAAATTAGTTGTATAAGGTAAAAACTACCACACAACTACTTACATAACTGCAGACATTAAAATTTTAGCTATTATAACTTCTTTTTTTTACACTTGAAAGAATGTTAAGGTATAGTGTTCAACAGGAAATGCATCAGCGATGTTAGGTTAAATTTATGAAAATTATATCATTAAAGTGATGCAGATCAATATTTGCCAAAAGTCAGTGCGTTGGGTTGCGTGAAATTAATTGGTCGATGAGATTCTAATTTTTCCATCATTTAATATATGTAATTATGATATATATATATATATATATATATATATATATATATATATATATAT